CAAAATATTCTATGGCGATGATTTTTGGTCATCTTTTTGTAAATATTTGTGCTGGCATGTTTGAGGTTCCTTTCACAGGCCAAGATTTACAAAGAGGCATCAGGGCTTGTCGGGACCTGTGGGATCATGTGGTGCTGGGGATGATCCCATTTCAGCTCCTGCATGTTGGCTCCTCGTGTTATGAAACAGGCTCAGCATGGTTGGAGTTGGACAAGGGGAAATTCCCACTTCCAGCGCAAAAACGAGGGTAGATGTGGGATTTGTCAGCGAGAGGGTTCATTTCTTCCCAAGTATGGTTGCAGCCAGTGGCCCCCTTCTTGAGGGGGACTGGAATTAATTAATTTTGGGAAATTCCAAGAGGATGCTGGATTTTTTCCTCTCTTTTTTCTTCTTTTGTTCCTATTCCCCACTACCCTCTTCGTCGCCCTTTTCCCCTCAGACCCCTGCAGGTCTCCAAAATTCCCATTCCTGGCTGCGGAGATGCCACCACCAAACAACAAACCTGGCTCCGAGGAGGATGATTCACATCCATAATTCCCTTTTCCTCCACCAACAGGGTGGTTACATCCAAGTGGCTTCCACGCAGCAGCTCCATGCCAGGGGAGCTGTCCAGGCTGGGGTGTGCCCAAGCCATGCTGGTGGCCCCATGGCTTGGGTGGCGCTGGGGCCGGGCTGGTGCCCTGCTTGATGACAGAATTTGGATCTGGCCTTTCCATCAGGATTCTGCTGGGGGTGTGAATCATGGAGGTTGACTCCAAGCGTGGTGGTGCTGTTTGATGTCGCTCCAAGCTGACGGGGCTGAAATATCCCTGAGGATCTTGGAGGCTGAAGGAATGTGACGAAATGGCTTCGGTTCCCTGTTGGCTGCAGACCCAAAGTGTTGGAATCCTGGTTCCTGCTGGGAATTTTAGATTTTCTGTGCTGAAAGGCACTGACCCCTGAGAGAACACTGCCATGGAGAAGGGAGAAGACTTCCAAAACTGAATGATAGCACTGGGATTGTGGGTGTGTGGTTTGAATAGGAGTGTGTAATATCACAGGGTGTAAAACTTAAGAGTTTAAGGTTTTAGAATATAAAAATATGTATAAAGCAAGAAGAAGGACTAGCCTCTACCCTAAAACCTCCACCTTGTTTATATTTACTACTATATTCTAAAACCTTAAACTCAGTTTTCCACCCTGTGATATTACACACTCCTATTCAAACCACACACCCACAATCCCAGTGCTATCATTCAGTTTTGGAAACCTTCTCCACGGCCTCAGTTCAAATGCAGAGTTCTCTTGGGGGTCAGTGCCTTTCACCACAAAAAGCCTAAAATTCTCTCAGGGTTCCAACTCCAAAGAGCTCAAGCTCCTCAACTCTTGAGATCAACGAGGAGGCTCCTGGTGCAGATCACAGCTGCTGCGTTGGATGTCACAGCATCACGGAATGGTTCGGTTTGGAAGGGATCTTGAAGACCATCTCATTCCAACCCCCAGGAATGTCTCCAAGCTCCAAGCTCCCTCCAACCTGGCCTTGAAGACAGCCTTGATCACCTGGTATTTCATCCACACATGGTGGATTTGGGCTACTTCTGTCCATCCCAGCTGTAAGTTTGGCAGCCTCTGTCATCTGCTGTCAATAATCTAAAACTACTCCTCATACTTCTTACTTCAATACATCTTTCAAAGTTCTAATTCTCTAAAATATCTAGTCTTACAAAACCATATTTTAAAACTTTTTTCTAAATCCATTTCTCTCTCAACAGTATCTATCTTATTCTATAACATTTTTAAATCAACACTTATTATAAAGTTTATGTACAAATACATACTCTATCAGCCTTCTATTAAGCCCTAAAAATTCTCTACAAATCTATTTCCCACAATCTGCCATGGGAGTGACCTGAGGAGCTGTGTCCCGCTGTTTGGAGCCTGCCAGAACAGCTGTGCCAGATGTGCTTTGGGAAAGGGAGGGATAGAGCAGGCTGCCTGCAACAGGCCTGAGTGGAAAAGGCAAAATGTCCCACTCGGCTTTTCCTTTTTTCCCATGAGTTTCTGAATCCCACAATCTCCCACTTCTGCTTCTTCACCAAACCCTGTTGCCGCTGCAGGTCCAGATGAAGCAACCCAGCCTTCCCTGACCCTCCAAGGAAGGAGAGGACACAGCCAGACCAGCCTGGTGTTGTCTGGAGTCAGGCTGGACCTCTTGCACCACTTTCATAACTCAGGGACACAGGGAGCACCATCCCTGTCCTCCACCCTCCCACCTTATCCACGGCCCCCTCCTTCCCTCTTGGCTGCACTTCACAGGCCTGAGCTGAAACAGAGATTCCTCCCTGCACCACTGAAGGGATCTGAGATTGGAGCCACCCTCCTGAGAGAGAAAAAAGGGAGGAAATGTTGACATTGAAACATCCCTGGACCTGGCTCCATCCCGGGCTGAAACCACGCTTTGTCTGGCTCCAGTTACACAAAAAGGCCTGGCCTTACACAAGGCATTCCCAAAGTCTGGCACAAACACCCTCTGTGGCTGCCAAGCCACAAGTGGGTGAAGGTTTCTTTTTCCTAAAACTTCCATGCCCTGTTAACTGTTTAATTCCCCTTGTGACACCCACTGGGTGACACCCACCTGTCCCAGTTTCTGCTGCAAGGTTCACCCTGCTGCCCTCCCCTCACCCTGCTTTTTTCATGTCCCTGGGAAATGGTTTTAACACCTCCCTGCCGTGTTCTCCTGGCACCATCTGCACTCCCACTCCCTCAGTTGTCTTTGCCCTGGATTTTCTTCCAGCCCTCTTCACCCCGTTGCTTGGGAAAAAAATGGATTTTGCTTCCAAAGGCGCCGTTCCCTCCGGTGTCACGGTGCTGGTTGGAACCCAGAGCCCTTGCACTGGCCCTGGGCGTGACTGCAATGCCAACAGGGCCCAAGAATAGCAGGGATTTGGGACCTGGCCAGAGCCTGGGATGCCTCCCAAAGCCTTGGCAGCCTCCCCCAGGGATGCAGGGATAGGGGTCAGGTGATGCTCTGGATGCTTTCCCCATCCAGCTCCCCCAGTGGTTGGTTAAACTGGGATTTGGGGAATCCTGCAGCTTCCCAGCCCCCTTGAAGGGCAGTTTTTAGCACCTGGACAGGGTCTGCAAGAAATGTACATTTTCCACACAGGAGGGACTTCCCTCCCATCCCATCTTATTCCTTTCCCTCACTCTGCCTGTCCTTAATTATTCCCCCCCAAGCTTTGTGTGTTTGCCTTGAATTATTTTGCTTTGCACCAATATTTCTCCACTCCCTCCTTATTTCTTTCCACTTCTGTCTGAAATATTAATCTTGTTTATTATTATTATTATTATTATTAACCTCTCCTCTCTCCAATCTATTTAAAAGCTTTCTCACATTCCCACTTCCCACAGCTCATTTCTCACTTGATGTTTTTTTCTATTCAGCTGCACTTTGTTTTAACAGCCTCATTTATTTACTGCTCATTTATTTGTTTTAATTCCAAAGCTTTTCTTCTTTCTTGTTGTGGGCTGTGTTCAAGCCTTGTTCCCTCTTCCCGCTGAGAAGCTGCATTTTTCTGCTCGATTGGCTCCGAGATGAGCTGGATTTGGGGTGATAATTCATTTTCATTTTGGGATTTTTGATGGGATGAAAGGGAAGGAAGCCTCATTTTCCATTTTTCCAGCTGACTGAGACAACCCTAGTGTTATACATTAAACAAACATGTGGATTAATACCTGTTTTTTCCCCCCTGCCTGCTCCACCTCATCCCGTTTCCTGCCTGATGTTTTTCATGCCTGTGTTTATAAAGAATCTTGCTCAGAGAGAATGTTTTTTTCCCCAGATTATTTCTGAAATATTGTTGCTGCATTATCTGTCACGTGGGCCTTTCACATCCTCGCTAAAAGATGAAATAGTTCAAAATTCCTGCTCAAGGTCAGACCAGAGAACAGAATGGAAAGCTTGGAACAATGGGGGCTCATCCCCTCCACCCTCTGGACACAGAGACAGAATCACTGAGGGTTGAAGCTGCTGCAGAAAAAAAGGAGGAATTGGGCAAAGGAAAAATAATTAAAAGCAAAAAATTCCTAACAGGGGTTGGGAATGGGTCCAGCTTCCCAGGATTCTGCCTGAGCAGGGCAGGAGTTGGCCTCGCTGATCCTTTTAGGTCCCTCCCAACTAAAGGCATCCCGTGATTCTGTGATTAATTTTGGGGAAAACAAAGAGCACCTGGATGTTCTTTCTTCTGTTCCCACACCATTTGTGACCTTACAAACCTTGACCCTGAGCTCCCCTTGGTCATTTCTCTCTCCAAAGGGTCCTGCCAAGACTTTTTGGGCAGGATTTCTTGCATTTCTCTGCTGTTTTCACTCCCATTTGTAGATTTTTAACTCCTGCAGATGCCTCCACGTGCTTTGTGCCTCTCCTGCAGCCTGAGTCACTTGGCTCTTCTGCGCCCTGAGTCAAGAGGTGGTGTGGGAGCAGAAGGAGGGAGCCCAGAAAGAGTGGAAAGGTCATGGGGGACTGGAAAAACCTGACAGAGTCCAGAGTTGGTCTCCAGGGAGCAACAAACATTGTCACCTGGAAACCCTGGATGGTTCTGGAGCACAGAAGAACAAAACAAAAAGATCAAACCCCCACCCCTGCCTGGACTGTTGGAGCCTCTGAGTGACATCTCCAGGCATAAATAGTGGGGTCAGGGGTGGAACAAGAAGATCTTTAAGGTCCCTTTCAGCCCAAACCTTTCTATGATTCCGTGATTAAAGGAATGATGCTGCTTCCTGCTTAAAACATTTTGCACAAGGGCGATAATTCTGAATGCCTCTGGACAACCCAAAAAATCTTTCCTTGCCTCCTCTCCCACTTCCCAGAGATATTAAGCTCCCATTCCATGGCAGTGAGAAGGGATGGAGGGTGCCAGCAAGCAAGGTGTCACCCCAGCCATGCCCTGACTCACTCCAGGTTTTGTGGCTCAGCCCAAAAAAGGGACTCCCGTGTTTGGATCAGCTCAATTACTCCCCAAAGCAGCAATGCAGACAGGAGCAGGCCTCGGAAAGAAAAGATTTGATGAGAAGGAGAGGTAAAAAAAACACATCGCTATCTGCAGCCTCGTAACAGGTCCTTACGCACAAACACACCCAGCACTGATCACATCTTGGGTGCTGCCACTGCCCAAACCTCAAATTATTGCAATCAAATGAAGTCAGGGACGAGGCAGGGCTGGTATAAAACCTTCCTGAGGCACATCTTCCCACACTGCTCCAGCTCCAAGGGCACGAGGACCAACCATGAAGGCTTTTCTGGTGGCCCTGCTGGCTGCAGTCCTGTGTGTCCAGCAAGGTAAGGAGGCTGGGAGAACCAGAGGAGAGGATAATCAAGGAGATAAATGAGGGACAAAAGGGTTTGGCAGCTTTTGTTGTAGCTGCTGAGGTCTTAGCAGGGTATTCTTGGTGTCAACCATGGTGAGAAATGCTTTGTGTGGTTGAGCGCTCACTCCTGGGTGGGTTCTCTGTCACCTAGAGGAGATGAATTCTGGTTTCTCACACCCTCAGATACCCAGCTCCAACCACACACAGCTGAAGACACACCCTGGAAAATGCTGACAAGGAATCAAGCAGGGCTCAGAGTTTTTGCCCTTGGTTTGATTTTTGTCCCTGAATGAAACCCGAGGAGTTGTTGTGGATTAAAAGCTTGGCTGGTCTTGGCACCACATCTCCTGCCAGCATTTCACTTTATTCTCCACAACTCCAATTAGGTAATGAGGCTGCTGGCAGGTATCGGAAAGCCTCAGAGCTCTTTGCTGCTAAATTGGAAGAGCTGTGAAGTGCATGGAGTGTGTTTGGAATGGGATGCACAACGCTCTGCTCCTTCTTGTCCTCTTTAAAAGGAGGCGCAGCCGTGCCTGGATAATTGTGGGGGAATATCCAGTTGGGAAATCCTGGCTCTGGGCACGGATTTGCCAGCCCGAGGAGCACAATTTGCACCGTTAAAGTTGTTTCTGACTGCATTTGCAAAACTCCAGCTAATGGAGGGTGGAGGGCAGGAAAAGCTTTAGAGCAGCTCTAATGGCTCGAGCAGTTATTGTTTCCTGGCTGGAAGGGATTTTCCTTGGATCACTTAGGGAGCATCAGCGCTTTCAGCTGCTCTCAGACACGCGCTGAGGACTCGGCTCCATCTGCGGCAGGAAGTGGTTTGGGAAATTTGGCAGAAAAGCAGATCAGGGAGAGCTCCGGGGTCTGTAAATTGCCAGGTCTGGGTTTTGCCTTGCCTGCAGAGGGACAGGAGCCCCCAGCTCGGGCTGGGAAACCTCCAGGAGGGAGGAGGGAGGCTGAAAATTCCCAAAGTGATGGAGAAATAGTAAGAGATGAAGAGGAGAACTTAAATCCAATTTGCAACAAGGCTGATTTTACCTCCTGCTACAGAGAGCCCCTCAGCTTGCAACACCTGGCACTGGAAAAGAGCAGAGAAATCAGCAAATGATAAAATAATTTGGATTGGAAAGGACCTTAAAGATCATCCAGCTCCACCTCCTGGAACTGGGGGTTCCACACCTTCCACTGTCCCAGGCTGTTTCAAACCCTGCCCAATTTTCCTTGAAGCATCTGGGAAGGTTTCAGAGCAAGCCAGTCCTGTGCTGAGACACCCAGAGCTCCCCAGATCACAGAGGAGAGGCCTTTTTTCCTCCTCCTTTGGGACAGAGACCAAAATTGCTTTCACTTCTCTTTTAAAACTGCCTCTGGAATCATTTAACCAAGTGTCGTGGGCAGACTCAACCTCAGACGAGAGCTTGAATCGAGAATAAACTTTGAAGGGCCACTGAGAGGGGTTTCCTTGCTAAAAACAAGTCTAAGTTTGATTGGAAAGGGTGCTCTGAAAATTTAAAAAAAAAAAAAAAAATAGCCTTCCTCGGCTGAGAAAATCAGGAAAAACAGAGCCAGGGAAATCTCAGCCTCATGGAGACCCCTCGCTGGTTTGTAATGTTTGTTCACCTTCAACCAAGAGCTCTTCAACCAAGAGCTGGTGACAATGGAGCAGGATTTCCTCGGAGCAGCCCAGCTGCCTCTGTCACCCCTGCCCCAAAATGCGGAGCATTCTTTGGAATTTCGGACAGGAGGGAAGCAATTTCCACTAATTGTGACTACACCTCTGGGGAACGAGAAGGCACATCTGTGTTCTAGTGGCCAGCCTGGAAGTTTGACTCAATTTACTTCAGTTGTGCCCAACAATATCCCACTTTTTTTCCAGCTCTGGGATAGACCTGGCTCAGCACTGAGGAAAAAGCATCATGGAGAACACCCTGTTCCAGGTGCTGATAGGAATAATCCATCCATTGTCCAGGGCAGCCTCTCCCAGGGAACTCCCTTTTCTGTGGTGCCTCAATTTGTCTCTCAGGGGTGTCACTAAGCATTAATTAATTCATGTCTGGGCAGGGTTTTGCAGATGTTGCGTGAAAATATTTAAAACTGACCTCTAGAATTGGGCTGGTTCCTCCTCTCCTTGCCAGGACTTTGCTTTTCAAGGTTGGTTTTCAACAAGGCCAATGTGGATCCTGGGGAGAAAAAAAAAAAAATCACCTGAAAATGCTGCCCAGGGTGAAAAATGTAAATTTAACCCCTTAAAATCTCCAGTCCAGAAAGAAAACTTGGTTTGCTCTCTCCATTCGTTTTCTCAGTTCCATTAATCAACCTCAAACTTATTTCACTTGCTGGGAAAACTTGTTCACACCATATTTTTCCCTTTGTATTTTCCAAGGCTTTTGGCACTCTTTTTTTCCCAGGAGGGAATTTTCCCAGGAGGGAATTACTAGGAATCACTAATCACTGTGTTGTGGGTATTTTTTTCCAGCTTCCTCCCTGTTTTGCTACATCTGTGACAACGAACATTCTAACTGGAACTGCATGAAAACCTACAAGTGTGAGGACCATGAGAAATACTGCACGACCACGTACAGCACTACCGGAATTGGTGAGTCCTAGAAAATGGGATTTTTTATTTTTTTTTTCCTTCTAGACACATTGCTGGGCAACTTTTTAAAAGGGAATTGATGGAAATCGGTAGTTTTGTTGGAAAGAAAAGATGATTTTGAGGTTGAAGTGTCTCAATGTGATGAGTGTGAATCCCTCAGTGGTGCTGTGAGGTAGAAGGATCATCTTGCTCCAGGGACACCTCCCACTAGACCAGGTTGCTCCAACCTGGCCTTTGACACTTCCAGGGATGGGGCAGCCGCAGATTCTCTGGAAAACCTGTGCCAGGGCCTCAGCACCATGCTGGAACACCCAAATTTCAGGAGCAGCCTCTGTTGTTTGAGCTGAGAAGTTTTGGGATGGAGAATAGGAAAGGGTTGGGTGCCACTAGCATGGTTTTCATAAAATGCATCGGAATTGGAATGCATTGAAAAAATGCACTGGGAATGCATTGGGATTGCTGTCCTACAGGAACCACAGAATCATTTAGGTTGGGGAATACCACAAAGTCTCAAGGCCAGCCTGTGACTGGCCACCACCTGGGCAACCAGATCAGAGATTTTGGCTGGCGTGGGTTTCAATCAAGGAATTCCCAGTGTCCCACATTTGATCCAGGACTCGTGGATTCACACCCAACCCTGTCAAACCCCCCTGAGAGCTTTTATTGCCGTGTGGAAAATTAAGGAATTTGCACATCCCTCTCCTCTGGTCAGCTCTTCCAACAGAATGCTAAATCCCAGCTCTCCTTTCCCACCCCTTCTCCACCCAGGCAAGGACGTGGGACAACGCATCACCAAGAAATGCTCTGTGGACTGTCCCGAGACCAACGTGAACTTCGGGGTGGCCGCTTTTTCCACCAAGTGCTGCAGCACCTCCCTGTGCAACTTCAGCGGCGCCAACAGCATCCGGATCAACTACGCCGTGGTCCTGCTGGGAATCGCGGGAAGTTTGATCTGTGTGCTCAGGGTGGGACTGTGAGCAGGGCTGGCAGGAGATTGTGACCACCCGAGAAGCCACAAGGTATTCCCCAAGTGAGAAACCTCAGCCGAGTGTTTCCAGCAGCGACCCTGTTGTATTCCAAGACATTGCTTCAGATCCCGACATCACACCTATCTTCCCCCCCACCCCGTTGTTTTGTACTAATTTTTCCCTGGAAAAGCTCTTTTGATAGCACGTGTGTGATAACTGTCAGATAAAATAAAGATTTGTGTTATTCTAGAGTGTGTTTGTTGTAACCGCACCAGGACCAGCCTGAGAAATCAGCTCTGCTTCACATTGAATTCCTCTTTTTAGCACTTGGGAACCTTCTCCAGGCTGCCTTTCCTAACTTTCTTCCATCCAGCAGCTCCAGACACTCCACAGAGCCAGATGTCTCCCAGATCCCTCTGAGATAAGGAAAGGTCAGAGATGTTTGTGTTTTTCCCATTGCAAACAACAATGGGCATTGTCTTGTAGATGCTGACGCAGAACCAGGAATTTTGGTCCTGCAGGAATTTGCGCTGGGAAGTTCTCCTGGGATCTCTGCAAGGTGGGTTGCTCCAGCTTTTAAAACAGGTAAAGGTCCCACCCCAAGGTGCTGGATGCCCAAGGTAAGGAAAATCCAGCTGGAATCTGTCCTCATGGAAAGGAAAACCCTGTGCCTGCTTGGAGAAGCTGCTGAGTGATTGCCCTGGATTTTCCTGTGGGAAATGGGCAGGAAGAGCCTGGAAGAGGTGATGGTGACTGAGCTGATTGGGGAGGTTTCTGCTCCATCCCTTTCCAGGGTTTCTGCTGCGTTTCCAGGCTTGGGGATGGTGGGGATGGGATGGAGATCCCCTTCAGCTCTTGGAGGAGCAGAACTACAGCTAAAACAGGCAAACAAAATAATCTTGGAGCTGGAGAGTGTGGAAAAGTGCAGCACTGGATTTTGGGAAGGTCTTTGTAGCAGCACCTGGAAAAAAGGCCTCCAGCCCTGTTTTATTTGAGGGGAATCCGGTGCTGGATTTGAGGGGAATCCTGTGCTGGATTTGGGTGGAATCCTGTGCTGGATTTGAGTGGAATCCTGTGCTGGATTTGAGTGGAATCCTGTGCTGGATTTGAGGGGAATCTTGTGCTGGATTCGAGTTGAATCCTGTGCTGGATTTGAGGTGAATCCTGTGCTGGATTTGAGGGGAATCTTGTGCTGGATTTGAGGGGAATCTGGTACTGGATTTGAGGGGAATCCTACTCCACCAGCACTGCAAATTCCATGTGTTTCCGTGCAACGGTGAAGTGCTGGGTGAAGGCTGTAAAAATGGGATTAGGTTTAGTCATCCTATAAAGATTTAATTTCTGGTCAGGAAGGGTGTTCTGGAATTTACTTCAGTGGGATAACTGAAGTGGAATTGTTGTAGAATTTCTGAGGGGACTATTTCCCCAGAAACTTGGGGCTTTGCATATTTTTTTCAATCACTTTTCCCATCACTTTATGTTAATCACAATCTGTGATTTCTGAGATGCTTCTCAAAGCTTTTGGCCAACTTGAAGTTCCGCATTTAGTAACAACATCTGAATTTCACAGCTACTTTTGCATTTCAGCACTTGTTTGATGAAAACTGCATTTTCCCTCCAAAATAAACAATTGTTTGCCCTTCTCATGTGATGATTTCAACCAGGTTTAGAACAAGATAAGCAAAACATTCTCCTCCTTTCCTTCTCCTCTCCACTGTGCCAAGGGAAATAAATTTTTCCACCTCCACCTTCCACCTTCACCTCCAGTTAAATCCTTGTTGCTCTTTACAAAACTGTCCTGAATTTCATGAATTCTGAACTCTTGTAAATTGGGATTTTAACTTCTCCTTTGCCTCAGTTCTTCTCGTGTCCTTCCTGCCCTCATGGGCTCCTTTCATTCTGTCACCTGGCCCTGGCAGGGACAAAATATCAGAGGGCCATATGGACCAGCTGGAAGATTTCAGAGCATCTCGTGGAAAAATCTGTCAGGAATCCTGCAATAAAGCCTTGAAGAAATCCATTCTGTCCTTCTCCAAATCTCAGCAGCTTGCAGGAGACAGGAGATATTTTAGGGTTTGGCATGGATGAGATTTTGAGGAAAAAAAAAAAAAAAAGCAGTGCATGAGCTGCTATTTCTGAACCTGTCAGGGGAATGCTGCTGGAGATAAATCCCGACGTGGGCTGGCTCTGGAATGGAACAGCACCTCCTTGGGACTGGAGCCCTCTGGATAAACCCAAATAAACATGGATTTACCACTAAAAACCCATTAAATCTATTCTGGTTTGGGGAAAATAAAATATTTCGCAATATTTTGCGCTGGCATGGAGGGAGCTTTGTTTTCCTCCTGCTGGGTGCCTTCAGGAGGCCGACGGAGCCAAACCTCACCCTTCCTTGGAGCTTTTCTGGCTAATTGCCACCTCTGCTCCAAATTAGTTCCATGCTCTGCCTATTGGGAAAGCCAAAATTCCCTTAGTCATGCAAGGTTCCAGAGGGACAGTGTTTATAAGTCCGGCTTGGAGGCGCTGGAAAAATTGACATCACTTCAGGAACCCGGCGTGTTTTCCCGGTGAGAGGAGGGCTGGAGGTGGGACACGTTGGAAACATAAAATATTCCATGGGAGTTGGGAATCTGAGTTGGAGAGGAGGAGAAAGGGGATAAAGCAGACGGAGAGCAGCAAGGGCGCTGGCAGAGGATTCGGGGCAGCACGGAGGGTGAGAGGATCCAGCTCGACTTTTCCTGGGATTTTGCCTCTGTTCTGCGACTTAAAGGCAGAAAGGCAACAGTGGGAGGGAAAAACAACAACAACCCCCAAGAAGGTGGGAAGGGTTCTGATTTTATT